GGAAGGAAGGAAGGAAGGAAGGAAGGAAGGAAGGAAGGAAGGAAGGAAGGAAGGAAGGAAGGAAGGGAGGAAGGAGATGATTATAATCTTGTTGATGTTAAAGTAAATGATTGTTTGGACTATTGTCTTTTAGCTGTACACTTTCAGAAAAAAAATTCAGACATGCATTGTACAAGATACATAATTGTTTACTAATTACATGAAGTCAGTTAATACACTGTAAAGATCAACCTGCTGCCTGGCTATGTTAGAGATGGTAGAGGATATCTTCTTTCCCAGCTCCTTGTTGTACCTCCTGATAAGTTTTACCCTGTTGTACTCAATAATCTTAATAGATTTGGGTTCAAATTGTCCTTAACTTTATTCCCATAACATTCTAAAAGTCCTAGAAGTACATAATTTTGCAGTGTTTTTTAGACAAATTAATTGCGCGCTCATGCACAGGCACTGTACATGCAATGTACACACACACACAGAGGAATTCTGTTACCAAAAAAGTTTCACCCAAGATTAATTCTATTAGGAAAGATGCTCCAATTATGTGGCTTGTCAGCAAATTATACCGTGGGCTTTAAAATCATGGTATGTCTCGGCAGGTGACAGCCCCTGGCTGATCTTGTCTCATTCAGAAGCTAAGTAGATTGGGCTTGGTTAATACAGTATTTGGATGAGATACAATCAGAAAATCCCTCAACCAGGAAAGTGGGAAAATATTCTAGACATGAGTGTCTACAGATGTGGCGCAAGTGATGAAATGGATATCACAACGTTACAATGCAAACTCTGCCCCCTTTTTTGTTTGCATCACACACCACATGCAAGTACATAAGAGGTAGGGCTTGAATCATGGCATTGCAATGCACATTTTGTCATTTTGGCATCGTCGTGGCTGGTTGCAAATACCACTGATTCCAGAAGAAGGCAGTGGTAAATCGCTGTTATATTGCTGCCAAGAAAAACAACATGGAAGTGTTTATTAAGTCACCAGAGCTGAACTCAATGTGTAGGAGATTTTACTTTTACTTTGTGTCTGTAGGATTGCGACTATAGCTGTCTGATAAATGCATTAAATGGTTAGATGATGGGGTCTAATTCAGACTAACTTAAAGTTTATTAAAATTACATGCCATGCTAAAAACTATGCATTTCATCAATATATATGAAATAAAAAACAAGAATTTTATTACCATGGAAAAAAGTTCCATCTCATTAGCAGAATGTCTCAGATTCTCTACATCATAACTAATATCCAATTGAGAAAGCAGAAGTCTGAGCTGTGGTTTCAGTTGGTCAATTTCTGTGGTGTGCTGGGGAACTGTTCTCTTTGAGATGGATCCTTTAAGAAGGCAAAATTAATGAAAGACTATATGAAATGTTAGATTCACCTGACTCTCAAGACTCCCCCCATTCAAATGTCATAGACAATCTAAACTTTTGATGCTCCTTTTACATTTTGAAATGTCTTCTCATCTATAAAATAATTTGTCTCTCCTGTCTACAGCCAGCAGGAACTTTAAAAAGGCAGAGAGCAGTTAGATTGTGAAGTTTTTAGTCAGCTGACATGAAAACCAACTAAGTGTATAAACCCTAAAATAAAAGTTGGCAACGTGCTCCTCTGATGGGTATTGCTTGTTTTGGCTGTGCTGTGTGTTTCCCCCGTTAGGTGATGTCCTTTTCCTGTTCATTTTGTTTGCCTTGTTAGGGTTTGTACTGGTTTTAACCGTACACCGCCAGAGTCGGTTCTAAGTTGAGGTGGCCTTCTATATCAAAATAATAAACTAACAAACGAACAGGAAAATAAAACAAAAATTACAGCATCTCAAAACACACAAGCTTTAAAATAGTGATGACTGGAGTTCTGGAATCAGCCCTCATCTGGTGCTGAAAAGAAGACAGGGATGGGCCAGGTAAGCATTTTGGGAAGGATTGTCCTAAAATGGGGTGATACCAGCCAAAAGGCCTCTCCCCCAGCAGTTGCCCCTCTTGTGGCTTGTGGTGGAGAAAATTCTTCGTTCTTGAACACATATGTAAGGGAGAAAGCAGCATAGTCCCAGAGTAAGTAGTTCCTGGACAATTTGTTTGCTTGTTTGTTTAAAAGATTTGTAAACTGTTCCTCTCACAATTTGTGACTGGATGGCATACAGTAATAAAAATCAGAAAAGAAAAAGAAAACAGAAAAGAAATACTACACAAGACCAAAATAAGCAGGCAAAAAGCATCACTTTAATCTGGGCCCCAAAATGAGAAGTGCTGTGAAAAAAAAAATGTTTATGGTCAAACCACCTAGTTCCAGTTGGCAGTTTAGTAGCCCAAATTTGGTCCTAGTGCAGTTTCTACTGAGACACTTTTCCAAGGTATATTTCAAACCCCAAATCTAATTATGTTGCCTGCACAGATGTCCTTTGCCCATAATTTCATTGATACAAGTATTTTAATTACTGTGCAACAACTTGATAAAGTTCAATCAAGTTCCCCAGGATTTGTAGAACTGTATGTAATCTGATTTATTGTTTGATGGCTTGGCATTAATAGGCCATCTGTGTTTCTATTCTACACTTCACTCTATCTTTGCTTTTAATGTTTTACTTAATCATTTTTCCCATTTAATCTATCCAATTTAAAACTATACAGCAGATGAAGTTGTAGACTTTATTTAATATCTGTAAAATAAATGGACTGGGATAACTTGTTACTGAAAGTAAACAGCAAAGAAGCAAATCATTTTAATTATCTTTCTGGCTCCATAAAAGCCTATTTTCCTTTGAAATTATAGCCAGATGTGGACTGAGTAGACTATATAATCACATGGCCAGAATCCTGAAACGACCTTGGTTTCGATCTAAAGGCAGAATGTACATATGTTTGTTCATCTTTGTTAATTCAATCTAAAAGGTAACTGCAATGTTTGTATAACCATATTCCAATCTGACAGAGACAATGTAAAGTAGCAGTTAAGATGCTGGAATGGGACTGGGGAGATCCAGGTTCAAAGTTCTGCTCAACAATTGAGTTCCCTGGATAATTTGGGTATAGTCATTCTCTCTCTTAGCCCAGCCTTCATCACAGGGTTCTTGTTATAGAAGGAAAAGGTCCACAGACACTGCTTTGAGTGTCCAGAGGATACTATATCCAGAGGAAATGTTGAATATAAATAGTAAATTGGTATTTTTTCCAATCTTCCTATTCAAATCTTGAGAAAACATGGACAGCCTGGAAAACGTGATCTCGCTATAAACTTCAGAAAGACATCTAGACCTGTTCAGCAACTGAACCCCTACTGCAGGACTGTTGGGCCAAAACAATAACTTCATATAGAAAGTGCCAAGGGAGAGAGGGGAAACCTGCAACCTGTGACCCATCCATAGTCTCCTAGCTCATTTTTATAGCTCCCAGAACCTCTCAAGATTGTGTCTTCCAAATCATGTGGATATCATTATTCCTTACCCTCTATGGCTGAAGTGTTTGAGTGGTCAGAGACCTGCATACTAGGAGACAAAAATTCCATTTTGCCAAAAGCTTTGAATTTATCTCCATCACCTTGAAGTGGATGTCTGTCAATGGCTACCTCTGTCCTATGAGAGATAGGCAAGTGTTGGAGTACCTATAGATTTGAGCACATATTTTGCATTCATTATATATATTCAAAGCAGAAGAAAGTACACATTTAATTAAACGTTACTTTTATACTTCTCCCAAAAGAACCATAGAAACTGTAGTGTTGTTGGGAACGGATTGAGATTTCCAGCCTTTGTACAGAAATACAATTCAGGGAATCCTATACAGGAAATTTTGAAAACAGTGCTCAACTAAGCCTATTATTTTTTATATCGTTTGAAGACACAAACACCTCCATGAGATTGTTATTTCAGAAAATGTAGGCTGCATCTTTGTGATGGAATGGAATTATGAAGGCAGATAAGCTCAGGCAGATAAACATTTGATTGATGTCAGGCCTAGCCCAAGGAACTCCAAGAGACAATGCCAATTCAATCCAGCTATGTTTTTTAGCTACAACCTCTAGCAAGAGACAAAACCCTCAGTTCCAAAAGTCCCCCAGCCACAACAGTGTGAATTCCTCGGGGAGGTGCCAGTCTCATCCTCTTGTTCCTCCCACGCGGTTCT